AAGGGCAGGGACATCAAAAGCATATAGCAAAAACACATAGCTGTCTTCCATCCCTGCTGGAACACGGAAAACTGGAAAAGACCTTGATTAAATCAAGCCTAAAAGATTCAGCCACAATACCAGTTGCCAAAAGCTATCTTGTTGTAAGTAGCCCATTTGGAACACTACTTCAAGGCTTTCTGTACAGATCTTTTACTCAAAGTCTGGATAACTTTGTTAAACCTAAGAACAGAAGAAAACCTGTTGAATCAGCTAATGCAGTCCTACCAGCTCAAATAACTGGGCACTAGGAGCTTAGTGTAGGAGGATGCCCAGAACATGGGCAGCAGAAAATCCCAGGCCACAGTTGACAAGTGGCAGAAAGAGAACAGGAGAGCTTGAGCATATCCTTATCTCCTTGGGCCTGACAGTAGCCAAATAAAATAAAAATCCAACATTTTATTTTCCCAAAATGCCTAATGATAGTCAGATTCCATTAATTAACCTCTTCTGTGGCCAATAAGATTTTGTAAGAAAACAACTCTGTATTTTGTACTTGATATAGTATTTGTATGTATTATAAAGAACATTATAGACTGTAAAAGTGCTGGCCATTGATAACAGTCAGTAATATAGAGCAGCACTGCTTGTATTTTGAACACACTAATAAACATGTCTGTGCATGTTTCAGTGAGTTTCACAGGTGCCTATCCAAAGCTGGTTCCTTACCGGCCTCCTAGCCAACTCATCTCGCCCCCGTTGCTGCTCTCTGTTGTATTTAACATCCTCTTCAGCCTCAGCATGCAGATTGTCGGGTTTGTGGTGGTCCAGAAGCAGCCTTGGTATTCCAAGACCGATATATACAGGTAGGTCCCCTTCTTGGGACTCTGGGTGACACAGGGCAGACCTAGTGAGACAGGTCTGCATGATACTATTGATCAGCTCAACTACAGGCTTGATTAGCAGCTGCAGGCAGACCGTGTGCTTCACCATAGGGTGCAAGCACCTTAACCAGTGTTGTCTGGAGGTCCCTAAACTCTTCATCAAGTCTGCTGTGTAGCACAGTGCATGTGGTGAGAATGCTTCTGTTGAGTACAAAAAGGAGTATTTGATTGGAGGGAAGACCAGGATATCCAAGTATGTTTGAGCTCCGGCTCTGCCAAGTTCAGCACACTCAACCCAGTGGATAAGATTGAGGACATTGCCAATAAACTACATCCTTGTGATAGCAAGAGCAAATCATGGCTGTGAGGGAGGATTCCTGATGGTGGTAGTAGAAGCTGGGGGAAACAACCCAGACAGTGATTATTTGCTGACCAGTGTGACACTCTTTTTCAGTGCCTGCCTCTTAATGAACAACCACACAGCAAACTCTTCCTCTGTTTCCAACCTGAGTCTCCATGGGATGAGAGATGGAGCCCATGAGCAAATGGACAATGGCTACAAGAGCTATGAAAACACCACAGTGTGGCTTCTAAGTACCATCAACTGCCTCATCGTAGCACTAGTGTTTTCCAAGGGAAGGCCTTTCAGGCAACCCATCTACACAAACTGTAAGTATGGAGGGAGAGGGAGGGATCTGTAATTAATTCAATTCAGGAGGTCAGTTCACTAGGGAAAAATTAAAACTTGACCAAAGTGATGCCAGCCAAAAAGGCAGGAGCCTAATATTAGATTTCTAAATGACTAAAGGCCCCCTTTTCAGAAATTTTAGTGCAGTGGCGTCCTGTGACCAGCAGCTCTCTGAGCTGGGCCCACACTTTGTGCTTCTGTACTGCTAAAAACTTGGCCTTGGCATTTGGATTTCTGAAACAGACAAATGGAGTTTGATAAAAACTTTTAATTAGTAGCAGGAAAGTGGTGTTGGCTGGCAGAAGCATCATGTTACTTAAGGCAGCCTGAATGAGACATCTCAAGAATAGCCAGAATTAGGTGGTCTCATGCTGCTGTAGTCTTCCATAACTCTGGAAGAGCCCTATGCCTGTCTCCCCAAAGCATGCTAGTTGAGCAGTATTTGATAGAACTCATGTTCAGCGCGTTCTTTTGGGTCCATCTCAGAAGAAAACAAACAATGAAATCTGTGCATTTGCACAGGCCCTGTTTTCTATTCCAGAACCAGAGATGTTTAGCATTTCCTGACTCTGTGACGAGTCACAACTTTAGAGAGGAAACATCAATGGAGGCAGTAACTTGAAGGGGCTATAGTGAAGGTCTGTTCTGCCTCTGAAAGACTGTCATGTGGAGGGAAGATGAGTACATGTGATTGTGGCAGTGAGGAGGTTGCAGTGAGGCATAGGAGAGCTGTTCTTTTTCTCTGTGGGAAAAATCCTGCAGCTGTCTCCCAGGGAAAGCTTTGTTCAATTATTTTTTTTTTCTGAAGAGTTAATACTGCCAGTTTCGTGGCTTTGCTGCTTTGGTAGAGTAGTAGTGAGGAGGGGACATTGCTCCCACAACCAGACAAAACCAGAGTGAGTGACTGGGAGTGAAGTTTGGTGCACACCAGCTGAAGAGAAAATCATTTATTTGCTTGCTCTTGTCCCTTCAGATGTGTTCATACTAGTGCTCATAGGGCAGCTGGGCGTTTGCCTCTTCTTGGTGTTTGCTGATATCGATGATCTCTACTCTAAGATGGATGTGAGTATTGTTCCAAGGTGGATTTTCTTCCTACTGCCAGGCCTGTTACAAATGCACTGGGATTGTTTTTAACAAAAGGCATAGACTTTTGCAGGGACACATGGCACTTCTACAGACAGATCAAATTTAAAGAGATGAATTTTAGATGATGGGATTGAAGAACCTTCTAGAGATATGGTAGCTCCAAACTAACATCTGTGCATTCTGACACCTGAGCAGCTACGTATATACATTTGATTGTTTCAGTGCATTGTTCGTGAAACAGAAGATTACATCACTAAGCTTACCACGCTTGGTATGTTGGTGGCTTGATAGCTGTGAAGCCAGGAGAAGAAAGGGACTAGGCGAGTTTAAACTAAAGCACCATGCACTCGTGTTTCTCAGACTGTGCTACTCTGCATACAGATCTTCTTACAAAAGAAGATCTGCCGTCGGCACTCACAGCAGCTCTCAGTTCTCAGTCCTCAATATTTTCAGGCTCCCTGTTTAAATTTCAGACAGCCTGCAGTTTCCTAGACCAGCATTTGGGTTTAGAACAGTTGTAGAAAAAGACTAGTGGGGCTGTCATGGCAGTAGAGGATCTATTTTGATCCTTAATTAATAAATACCAGTAGGGCTTGGCTTATTTAGTCTGGCAGAAGGCAAGTTGGGAGTTGCCTTGTGCAAATCCATTCTGGGGGATATGCAAGGCAAGGATAAGATCTACATCAGCCGTAGGACAGGGTTGTCAGTGGACCTGGCAATTAGTATGCTGAGCCTGGAAGATGTTAAGCTCTTCCACTGTGACACTCTCGCAGCCTTGTAATAGGAGTCACAGGAACAAGACAACAAAAGCAACACACAGCTATTTTTTCAGTACATTTGTAATCAGAACGATGAAGAGTGGTGGCTTTGAATAACAAGTACTGAACGTGATGCTGCTTCCGGTCCTGTATGTTTGCATGACAATTAGCAAGTGGATTTAGAAATGGACATAATGAAGCATGGAAGGAGAAGCATAGGCAAGGGGAACGGACCTGGATTTGGAATGCCAAGCAGCCTAGCTAAAGCTGCCTCACCGTGTAACTGTTTCCAGAGCAAGCAGCTCAGCGGGCAGACCCAACTAAAGCATCTGCCACGAGATGGCACTTTAAAGCAAGTCTTGGTCCTTTTGTGGACTGTGGTGACACAGAACGTTGTCAGCACTGCAGCTGTGAGGGGCTACAATGCCTTTGGGGAGAACCGCAAAACTCCCAGTTTGTCTGGAGGGAATACACTGGATTTGCTGAGAAAAGGAGGGAGTGGCAATAAGAAGCTCTGCAATAGCCTAGCCCTGGAGAAACTGCTGATCCAAATTTTGGATCTGAGCTGCATCTCCAAAATAAGTTGAGCTACAGCCAGAAAGCCAGTGCTACCAGCTGTGGGGAGCTGGAGCTGGGTTTGGAGCTGAAATACTCAGGGTTCAAACTATTTCCTATATTAGAAAGAAAGGAAGAACTTTGATTTCCTGTTGCAGTTCTGGAGTGTGGTTTTCTCTGCCGCATCATAAGTTTAAAAGCATCTTTTATCAATAATTCCTCAAGACAAGTAGCAATATTGGCTCAGCAGTAGTGTACAGCCAGTGTGGGATTCTGGCTTTCGATGACAGAAAGCTGGTGAAGGGTCTAGAGAACAAGTCCTATGAGGAGCTGCTGAGGGAACTAAGCTTGTTTAGTCTGGGGAAAAGGAGGCTGAGGGGAGACCTTGTTGCTCTTTACAACTACCTGAAAGGAGGTCGTAGCGAGGTGGGTGTCAGTCTCTTTTCCCAGATAACAAGTGATAGGACGAGACGAAAGGGCCTTGAGTTGTGCCAAGGGAAGTTTAGATTGGATATTAGAGAAAATTTCTTCGCTGAAAGGGTTATAAAGCACTAGACCAGGCTGCCCAGGGAAGTGGTTGAGTCACCATCCCTGGAGGTATTTAAAAGACAGGTAGATGTGGTGCTTAGGGACATGGTTTAGTGGTGAACTTGGCAGTGTTAAGTTTACAGTTGAACTCAATGATCATAAGGGTTTTTTCCAATGTGAATGACCTATTATTCAATGACGCAAGCTCACATCAGGGTCTAATGTGCACACATGTTGTCGAACAGCTTCTCCTGTTTTTTCCCAGCTCGTTTGCACCCCTACCACGTGGCGGATCTCCATGGTGATAATGCTTGCAATCGTACTTGCTGTGTCCTTCTTTGTCGAGGTGAGCATGCTTCATTGAATGTACCTGTCAGCACTAATTGGAGAGACGAAAGGATCAGGTCTCACTCTTTCTCCCTTCTCCTCAGCCCAGCTTGGGAAGATCTAGTATAACAGGAGCTGTTTCTGCTACCTTGTCCTTACTCTCTTTCCTCAAAGCCCCACATCTCAATGATCACATATAAGGGAATGCAAGGCCCAATCACCTTTTCTTTACTCTGATAAGTGGGATGTATCAGGCCCTGCCTCAGGCTAGAGAAATATGGTCAGTCTTTGGTGGGTTTTACTCAGATCCTGAAGACTGTCAGGAGGAGCTGGTCCCAGTTTTCTGGGGGAGTGCTCTGGTGCAGCTGGTATAAGTGGCTATTTAATGGGTGGGAGATCTGGGTCTCCACTCCCATGTATGTCCTGTGGATGAAGATGGAAAACTTCTGTCCAGGTCCTTCAGAATCTTCCTTTTGCTCTTGCTTTTACAGAAATTTGTCATCGAGAACAGACCCTTATGGCTGCTTCTGAAAAAGACCTTCCGGTACCACTCAAAGAGCCATTACAAGAAGCTGCAGCGAGTGTTAGAGCAGGACTCTGCCTGGCCACCTCTGAATGAAACCTTCTTCTCAGATTCTGTGGCAATATCAGTAGAGGGAAATATGGAAGGCCATAGCAATCCAACATTTGACAGCAATGAGGATGCACTCTGAAGGAAGCTGCAGAGGACACATGTCCAGGACAGTTTCAGTTGGTTGTAGAAGGACTATCTCAGAGATGTAAGAAAAGACAAAGGACCGACCCATCACTGTCCCATTCTAAAACTCACCAGCTCTGGCTTATTTTTAAATTAACTGGAGGCAGAAAAGCTTGCTGCAGTAACACAAAGCCACAACACGGTTTCTTCTGTCCCCTTGCCCATGTATGAATGGCTGCCAGCTGTAAATGGAACAGCTTGCTGAATATTGGCAAAGTATTCAATGGTTGAAACACCCCATTACTGCATCTCTCTCTTGAACTGCGTTATGCAGTCCATAAAGGTCAGGACTCCTCCAAATGAAAAGTAGCTAATTCGGATACCAGCACTCCTCTGGGGAGATCCCCTTCGAGAAAACAAGTAGAACTTACTCTTGATAGAGGCTGCTGAACATAGGCAGGTCCTGGGATTTCGATAGTTCCTGAGGTTTCAGATACTGCTACTTGGTGTCTGGCGTTTGTTGGGGTTTCTTCCCGTTCTGGCAATATTTGGCTTTCTGGAGCTGGAAGGAGCTGCAAATAGCCAAAACCTTGTAAAAGCATCCACTCCGAACACCATTATGTTCTTCCCATGATGGGAACAATAGAGAGCTCCATTGCTAGCTCACTGCTACCAGGCAACCTGTTTGCCCTCTTCTCAGTTTAAAACGTGTGGCACTTGCATTTTCTGGGTGAAAAATCTATTGATCTACAGAGCAGAATGATTTCATAGAATCATAGAATGGTTAGGGTTGGAAGGGACCTTAAAGATCCTGCCATGGGCAGGGACACCCTCCACTATACCAGGTTGCTCAAAGCCTCATCCAGCCTGGCCTTGAACACTTCCAGGGATGGGGCATCCACAACTTCTCTGATCAACCTGTTCCAGTGCCTCACTACCCTCAGAGTGAAGAATTTCTTCCTTATATCTAATCGAAATCTGCCCTCTTTCAGTTTAAAGCCATCGCCCCTTGTCCTGTCACTACATGCCCTTGTTAAAAGTCCCTCTCCTTTTGTTGTTTAACAGTTCTTTTTTGAGGGAGGTATATGTTCAAATACAAATTGTAAAAAAAGAACGAAACACATGATAATTGCAAGTTATGATCTCACCCTGTGGGTCTACAGGGACATGCTGATCCTTGTGATGTGAGCTTGCTCTTCTAGAGCAGATGCTGCACAGCTGGGCTGCTGCCTGGCATCAGCTCCTGGTTTACCAGTGCCAAAAGCAGCAGCCATTGAAGACCCCCAAGGGCCTAAGGGCTGAATTAAAAGACAGAGAGCCAGCTAGGTCTCAGAATAATTTTTTAAATTCTATGGCATGCTCTTAAGCTGAATCATCTGAGGTTTTGGCTCTGGTTTCCAACCATAATTGCACATGCTACACAGCATATATCATTCGTCAACTCATCTCTCACCTGTTAACCTTTGCTGGTGACTTTTACTCACTCTGCTGTGCTGCTTCTGCCATACATTAATGCTACAGCATTGCACATTTCTGCAAGTTTTACCTACTCAAAAAAAGCAGCACCCATTAGTGCTTTGATGCCAGGCTGACTTCCTGCTCACTGTACTTTGCAATCTCGATCCTCAGCTGGGTAAAACAACAAGGTATCAGGCAGGGATGCTTCGGATCAAGAGGAACACTTCCTTCTTCGGATAAGGCGTGCAGGGGAGTTGTCCCCTCTGAACTGACTGCACAAATTGTTTTTCACAGCTGGAGCATGCCCATGCTTTTCATGGGTGGGGCTGGGGAAGGACTTCAAGCTGGGGACTGTATGTTCCTACTATTTGATGCTAAAGCACTCTTGCATTGCCACAGAAACCCAGAGAATCAGGCAAGTTGGGAGTCACAGCAAAGATTCCTTTGGTCTTTTAGAGTAAAAAGTAGCTCTGAAAAGCCAAGAGCAAATCAGAAGAGACTGTGGATTGGTTTGATTGAACATGTCTGTACTAGAACAGAGTTTCAAAAGAGTTTAACTTGAATCAAAAAATAACTTTTTCTAAAAATAAATAAATTAAAAAAACCCACTAAAAATGTTTCAACTTGAATAAAACATTTATTTGACTCAAAGCAATTTTTTTCCCCCCATTTTAGACAAGTTTGACATAGGCAAATGGAGTTAATACCTTCCCACCTGCTGCAGTTTACCTAAGCCACAAAGCCACACAACTTGACACAAACCAGAAATGGTTCACATTTATTCATAAAAGTGTTTCCAAAGTTAGCATGAGTTCCCAGTTTGCAGCAAAATCCATTGGAAGGTGAAGGCTAGATGCTCTAGGTACTCCGTGCAGCTTAAAGAGACACCAAAGAGCGGGTTAGTGGATTTATTCCTGCCCTCCTCTGCTTGAAATACAGTAACATTTTCCTTGGAGGCAAAATTCACTGTCCTATTTATGAACTCCTGCACACAAGATGTATGTTGCTGCATGTCATAAATTGGCAGCTGCAGAAGCATTGCAGGCTAGGCATGTAATTTATGTTTATGTCAGGATTGGCAGTATAGAAGTATCAACTTGTGGCAAACCGGTGGCACTTGGAGAGTTGACAAGATAAAGGCCTGCCTGCCCACTGCTGAAATACAGCCTTACCTGCAAGAGGACAGCGTTCAGATGCTGGGTGATGTTTAACCTCTGCCACTCTTTAAGATGTCAGTCTTGTGTTCAATCTTCCTAAGCAAGGCCAATGTCCCCAGCCATACTAGGGCATGTTTTATTATTTTCCCTCAGTGGCATTAGCCACAGTTAATCCGCAGAGCTATGCGGTGTGTCCCAGCTGCACTGAACTGCTTATACAGCTTAACTTGGTGGCCATCAGGAGACAAGAGATGGTTAGGCAAATCCTTGCTGCAGAAATCAGCTCATATGCACACATGAAAGCCCCTGTGTTCTGCTCCCTCACCTCTGGTGAAACATCAGAGGTCCCAGTCCACATCCCAGTGTTGGGCTGTCCCCTTGGACTGGGAATGTGTTCAGGGTCAGGATGAGGAGTAAGCAAAAATAAAAACTTCAAGTGTGTTTAGGATTCACATCTACATTTTGCATTTTGAGGATCTCTCTAGTTTGAAAGGACCTTATACTTCTGGAAATCAGGATGGTAACAAACAGCTTCCTGCCTGCACAGTCTTGTCTACCAGGCACCTGCCATGCTCCTTTTGCCCATCCTAACTTGTTGTGCATGCAAGAGAGGCAGCTACAATGTAGGTGCTCAGTTCTGGCTGAGCAGGTGAACTGGAAGCTTGTAACACTGACAGAACAGTAGAGAAACAGAAATAAAACGTAGCCACTTAACGGAAAGAGTTGTTTTGTACGGGTATTATAGGGGTGTTTTGCAAATTCCAAGGCTGCGTAAGGGCAGAGACAGATTGACAGCCTTGGATGTGGCTTCCACAGTCCCTGCCCGCAGTCCAAGCTATCCAAACAGCTGAAGAATCCCCTAGAGGACTGAAGCTCCAGGCTCACTTTCTCCTTTTGTGACTGGCAGTGGACACTGGTTGGAAAGACCCCCAGTGATCTTTGCCAGCAGAGACTGTCCATCCTGGTTAGTTTTCTTCTACATCTAAATCAAAGTGGCAGAGTCCCTGGAGCACAGCGAGTCCACAGAGCCATGCAGCCACTCTGAACAGCTAATTTCAAAATTTGATTTTCCTTGTGAAATACACTTGTCCTAGTTAATGAAAAGGAAAATCACTTTTAGCTTTGTCCTTCTCATTTATTTATTACTTGTTTATCTTGATATAGTCATCACAGTTTTTGTCTACTCATCAGCACTCTAGAGCTCAGCCTGCTTGGCGGCACACACAACAAAAGGAGGAACAAACGCAGACCCTCACCAATAATAGCTGTAGGTGTACAGTAACAGTTACACTAACAAGCCAGAACCCTTTACAAGACATACCAGCTTTCCACTCACACAGCACCTTTTGTCTAAGGAACTTGATGCACAACACAGCTCTTCAGGAGAATTACAGAGGAGGCTGCAGAGACAAAATACCTGCCAAGCATCAACCAGGAAAGGAAAGTGCAAGTAGCTGGAACCTGGACCACTCAGTTCAAGGAAAGGAAACAGAGACGTCAGTCTGGTGCCAGCAACTCAATGTCGAGGACTCATTACTCGCTCTTACGGCCTCTAAAGTCTTCATGCTGGAAAAATAGTCCTGGAGCATTCTGTGCTAATATCTCCCAGTTACAGAGCGTAATCCTGCTACAGCCTTTGTCTAGTTTGTGGGCAGATGGCACGCAGCTCCCCAGCTAGCAGGGTCATGATGTGCTGCATCGTGGTTCAGTGCACCTCGGGCTAATTGCCAAACGCATACAAGGAACAGCAACACTCAAACACACCGTCAGACAAGCCAGGCTGTGTAAATTGTCTTCCTGGTTGGCTATCAACAGTGGAGACACGATTTCTGTTCTAAGAAAGTAACCAAATGTCCTGTCTGTCTGAAATACAAAACAGAATTGTCCCTGCACTGGAGTGCCCTGTTTTCACAGTGTCCCTTGTGGCAGGTGACCCTTGAAGGTGCTTGTCACTGACATGGCTTTGAGTACTCTGTACAGGTCACTGTAGGTAAAAGGGAGTCAAGAAACATTCATATGTCTTGTCTAAATCTAATGAATAAATCTCTTTGGTACTTCCTAGATGATGAGCAGACAGGGTTAGAATACAAACTTCCCACTTTACTGTGTAGTTGTCCCAGCCTTTCACCTAGGCCACGTGATAGATTGCTCCAGGTAAAAAGAGCATTCTAGTTTAAACAGAGAGTGAGGCCGGAGAGAGAAAGAGGACATAAGGAGATCATAACAGGCTCTTTCTCTTGATCCTACCGATTACTTGGGAGGTGCTGGAAGCAGTGCTTTTGGACCTGGGAAGCAGTTCAGAGAACAAGAAACAGGTTTATGTCTCACTCTCCTCTCACACCCCACCCCAGGCCAGGTGAATCTTGATTTGATAGCTCCAAGACATGAAAACTGAGAATGCTCCCTGAGCCATTCTTCAATGAAGAAAGTTTTCTGTTGCATGCAGTCACCACGCACATGCCGGCCAGTGTCCAACAGCTGCTCTGAGCAGAACTACCTGTTGCTGCAAAGCCGCAGAGCCCGGCAGAGGTCACGGGAACTGCACCCCTGGGCACTGCCAGCTGCCTTCTATTCCTTGCACTGAACCTCCAGCCTGGCACTCAGTTCCTCCTTGTGATCACTCTTACACAGAGCTCACTGCCCACTCACTGCTGACTTACGCGAGAGCCCCAGGCTGCCTCTCACAACGCTCTGTTATTGCTCCTGTTAAACCTTTACAG